TGCAGGAGGAGAAAAAGGATTATTTGTCTACCTTGGAGAAAAGGGAATACCATGAAATGGTTTGTGTAAAATGTTGGACGACTAGAATCTAGCTCTAATCCCGACAATCTAGAACTTGGCATCAATATGCACGTATAACAATAAAATAGGCGTAGTGTCAAAGGTAAGAGTACGAATAAGTAAGAGCCCAGATCTAGAATGATATTAATAAACAGTGATCATGTTCTTTAATCAGCATTCAGTAATTTTCCTGGATGGGCGATGCTGCTGATAAATATGCGTAATTGTCACAAAAATATCTAATGCATCGAAGCAGGTACAGTATATTCTAATGGTATTTACTATTGGGGTTTAATGCGACTATTCCCTCGAAAGATTTAATAGTGCTATTGTCAATTCTAAAATTTATCTTCCTGAGTTAGTATGTCGGCCCTTCATTTCCCGTCTTCCACGAAAATTAAAATTCACATTCCAATGTCGTTCTTAAAGTAAGATTCATGGTTACTTCGGCGACATTTATCGAGGTAGCGCGCATCCCTATTAGCCTATTAAACCGTCGCAATTTGAGTGGATGACGGAGAACAAAAGGAAAGAGTGAGAATGATATAGACTCAAGAGCCCCAAAGAGAAAAAAATAGGAATAAAAAAATAATAATACCTACCGAGAATTTGCTATTGAGCATCGCTCAATCCTTATATTACGTTATTATTATTCTATACGTAAACTTCCCAGACCCGATTAATGCCCATGGATCAAAGAAATCCTCTAGTTCCTGGATTTTATAACCAGAGAGATATAGTCAGCATGTGAACGATTATTGTTAATGAATTCACCAAGAAGTCTATAAACCTTCTTTTTTTACATTACCAATTGTATCCAGTTCCAGGATATGCTGTATATCCTATCTGGCTTCCTAATACACCACCGGACTGGCAAAGCCTTCGACACACGCCATACCACGTTCAGCTTGCTTACGTAAGCATAGACAATATGCGACTGAAGCATTTATATAGTGTCGCAATCAGTTCTTATCGCATGTCGCGCAGAGAATACAGAGAAATATATACCGAGGCGTAATGGAGTGTAGAACCTTTGATCGTGTGGGTGAGTATAGCGGATGGGTGACGTAATATAAATATAATAATACAGTAATAGTGGTAATCAGTAAATAACAATTAATAACAATATCAACTTCTTAATAAATACCATTTAAAATCTTAATATTGTAGACTTTTCAATAGTAAAGCTCGGTTATTAGGCAGAGAATATGTTCATCTAGGATATCCCAGCTGGTATGATAGGCTCAGAGATAGTTGCCACGATAATTTGTGGTTTGCGCGGAGAAAAAGCGAACTTGATAATTTGGAGCAACGATCAGTTGAATGTCTTGAGAATGAAATAGAATAATTGCAAACAACATTACTAGAATGTGCATATTGAAAATAGATGCTTTCGTCGTTGTCCGCAACGACAAAGTAAAGTGCTGTCAGCTAATGAGAGGTTGTGGTAGTCTTCTCAAAAAAGGCCAGTTTTGCTGGTTCTTCCTAAAATACCAGATTGTCTAGTAAATTAATTGTCAAAAATACTACGTTCAGCACTCGAGGTTAGCAATCTACTTGCTTGAAATCCTAACGCTAAGAGCAAAACACTATTGTATATACTGCATCTCGTAACAAAATAAAGTCTTTTATGAAGAAACACTGTTGCGTGTTTGAATGTCGATAAATGCGACTCTAATTAATCGGTCGTTGTCCTCAAATGCAGAACATAATCCTACAGAACACAACGACAATTTAGACAGAGCTAGAATATGTATTTTCTCGAATAATTTGCATGGTTACCGTTGATCTAAGCAGGTCAACAAGTATCCAGGTCGAGGAATTTAAATTTTGTGGAAGAGAAAAGGGACCAATCTTCATCAGCAGAACCAGAGACAGATCCTTTGACATCTTCGTGACACAGCAGTTTGGAATTGCAATTTCAGAGACTAACACTAATTATTTAATAGAATTTCCATAAATATAAATTCAATATTATCATAAATTTCTAAGCATTCCGACATTCTCTCCCCGAAATATTCTATCCAACAGCATAACGCTTGCAGTTGAGGTTGGTCTGTAGATTGACACATTTGAAACAAATACCTTGTTTATCTTCATTGAAATCATATCTATTATTGAGAGCAGAGCGATATGAGATAACATTTGAGCAATACGTTTATTAAATGTTGTATGTTAAGACCGCAAGTTGTTCGACTAACTTGACTGCCTCTCAAGTGACGGGCGAAATGAGTTAACTTTGGTCTTGAGCGAAAATATGGGATTATCTACAAGGAAAAAAATGTCAATTCAGATAGTATACTTAATAATGCATTAACTGGCATATCCGGATGACATTCTATACCGTGGACTGACCTCCCAAGATTTATCATCGTTCACTGGCCATTCAAGGTACGTTCATGAAGGGCAACAATTCCCGTGTATCCTGCAGAGCAAGAATAGGTGAGCAAACATAATTCATAGTATTCGTAATCGAACTACATTCAGAACAAGGCGATAAGAAGTGAAGGTGTGGGAGGATTAGATTGGTGCGTTGTAAAACGAGCACATGGGGCTTAGAAGGCACGAATCAGGCAAGGCTATGTATTGATTTATAAAGGAATGACTGAAGCATCAAGTTCTTCCATGGCCGTAAATTCGGGTTTACCTTCTCATCTACTGCATGATCTAGCAAGTTTGAAAAGAGGGGTTTAGCCTGAATTGGAACGAGATACGGAATTGGTGTGTAATGTCATTTCTGAGTAACTATTGTTTTATTCTATTACATCTAGAAGCTGCCGAAACGATCAAGAGGCTGTGAAAACACCAGGAGCCAACCTTCCAATTTAATAAATGCTTTGTGCATCTTCCAACCGAGTTGCGTGATCAGGAATTTTTACTGGCAATGCATATTATTGGATGGTGTCGTTGTTTTTCTTATAGGGTCGCGATCCCTTGGCTTTTTCGACTTCTACGGTATATACAAACAATCATTCTAACATATTGGGTAAGTGTGTATTTTATTAATGCGAAAATACTTCATTATTATTTGAAGATTACAAATGAAGGCAACTTAGAGAAAAAGAACAATCGCTATACTGTGATCTATGAAAATAATAGTGTCTCCGTTTATATGGCTCCGCTCCCACAGTATGGATCTCTGTTCAGATCGCACCAGCGTCAATTTGCAACACTGGTACGTTGTTTATTTCTACAGGAAAAATATGAATTTTGAGATGTCATATAGAATGCTTATTTATAGATTATGACAAGTTCGAGCGATTATGGAAACTCTAAGAAATGTCTAAGGCTTAAAAAAAGAATTGGAAAAAAAAGTACGTACTCAAGTGGCGACTTGTTTTTCTAGTGATTCCCATTAATAATAAATTAAAAATGGAATCGTTTGCTTCCACCAGCGTTCTCGGATATTTTTTCAATTCGCCGAACTCGTCCGGTAGTAAATTTATTGAGTGTTTGTATATTAGATTATTATTATTATCATCATCATTATTATTTATAGCGAGTGTCGAGGGAAAAAAATAACAATTTTTTTTATTTATGAACACCAGAAGTGACTGAATTTCTCTGGCGAAATTCCCGAGTATTGCTCCTGTTCATCTTAGCGCACTTTAAATGATGGGGGCTATTCATTCGAAATTTGGGAATAGATTAAATACCAAAGATTGATATCTTTATTGACAGTATGTGATTAAGTTTGAAGTGCCAATCAATATTGGAAAAAAATACATGAATAAGAAATAGAAGAAGAATGATATACTGGAACAGTATGTAAAAGAAAATAACGAAAAGAACAAGATGAACACTGCACCCATAATCTTTTCTAACAACGCAGACAGGATAGTCTATCAACAATATCTAAACTAATCACCACTTCCACCCGGCCGCCCCGGGAAACTTTCCGCCAGTCGTGTATAACACCATATTTTTCTTGGCAGGTATAATGGTTAACCTGCCTCGATGTTTTTTTTTCTTTTCCCTTGGCGAGTAGAAAGGCTTCCCTCGGTTTGCGAGGTAAAAAAAGCTTATCCTTTTCTTCTTTTCCTCGACCGCGAGGTAAAAGGCGCTCTTCCTCATCCTTTTCTTCACCACTCGGCTTTATCGTCCTGCTGAGTGGGATATTGTCGTTTGGCCCTTGGGCAATTTTATTGAAAGAGAGGAAGGTAATGATTTATTATGCCTCTCTAATACTAATACTTTATAGTATATTGAAAGAGAAGGCGCATAGATATTGTCCAAAGCTTGGGTATATCTTGTTAGTGCAAAAGGGCTAATAAAAATGTCTTTAGGTGGACATATTTTGTCCTTGTTGTTATATTGTCGAGGAGACATATTTTGTCTTTATTGTTAGAGAGGGGAAGAGGTGTGGCTACTTATTATTGTTCTGCGTACTTATCATCATGTGTTGCACATGTTAACAATGCCGCCGATAAGACTTGAGTTTTTAGTAATTGTGAATGTGTGATATATTAATATATTTAATTAATGTACTCGTGTCAATTGATATTGGATAATGTCTCAACATCCAAGTGACTGCGGACTAACCGATCACTTCTATTAAAGGAGACAGGACATGGCGATGTAATTTAAATTTAAACGCATGTTTCAAACCCCGTTCCACAGTAACACACGGACCAACCAAATTATCTGTCCTATTTACATGGATGAATCGTAAATATAACTGCTAGACTTCTTACTTAAACACAACGTGTTGACATGTCCTTTTCCGTTCGATAGTCCTATTACATGGATGAAAGAATTCTCATCGTAAATATAACCGCATAAACATCCACTTAACCTTTTCCTGGGCTACGAACACAACGTGTTGACCATGTGCTTCTTGTACACCGCTTCTTTATAGAATTCCTTATTCCAACATTCATCCTTGTTATGAGGAACTTAAACACGACAGCGTGTTGATCTGTGAAAGGAAGTCAATCACCCTACTCAATTCCATCTGCGAATATCCCGCTGTGAATTGAACGTGAAAACACGATCACTATATGACTATCACCACATTGATTGTAATTGTTATGACACTCACGCAACCTTGCCGAATACTCTTTTCATGCATCGGGATTGCTCTTCATCAAGTACGTGACAATCTACTTCTACACCAAGCACATCGTGTAGGTTCCTCCACACTTTGTCTACGACAATCGGACTAGAGAAAAGTAAGAAAGGGGTGGATCGGGAATATGCTCATGCACAGTATACCGGTTGGAGAGTTTTAAAGTTATACATTGTTGTTGATATTCTGTCATGGTGCAATCGAAATAGTAGTGGATTTAATTTATTCTAATAGGACCACTCCTTCAAATCCCACCACCTTCACCTTCCTCCCCTTCTTTCACTCTCCCACTCTCCCACTACCTTCATTTCTCTTCCCCTCTTCCCCTCTCATTACCTTCACCTCCCTCACTCAATGAATTGACATCACAAAACCCAACAAGTCACCGTCTATCATCGCAAAAGGCTTATCCAGTTGATGTATGCCATACTTCTATCAACGCGATTGTCGAGAAAAGTCGTCAATCACATATCGGTCGTATCAATTTAATCAACTCATATGACACCCTTCCCTCCCCCATAACCACACACTTCTATCAACGCAATTGTCGAGAAAAAGTCGTCAATCACATATCGGTCGCATCAATTTAGTCGACTCCCCCCCATTCCTCCTCTCCATAACCACGCACCACTGTAATCGTTATGAAGGGATCTTGGTAGCAGGGAGCAACTTTAATAATAGCAATTAATATTCCGAAAGGAAATTGGGCAGAATCACGTTAAGCACAATATACGTATTAGTACAAGTTATTCGATTAATATGGTAAATGAGATTAATACTGCACCCACCCCTATAGAATAACGACTTAATTATAGAATAAAGTCTTGTCGAAGACCACACACTATTGTTCTTGTTGAAAGATCGTTTATGTTGCATTGGGTGACTGGAAATGGTGTCGGGATTGGACAAGCGGCACGAAAAATATGTCCGTATCAGTATCACCGTAATCTCACTTACCAGTTGAGTACGCGATAGTTTGAGCTCTATTCAACGCCAATGTGGAGTTATGACATCACAAGATATGAACAATGCAGAATTATTATAAACTTATAAATACAGTCGCACTGCTCTTCATCCATTGTTGAGGAAGAGTCCATCGCTTCATTTCATGATACTAGTCCTATTAGCGCGTGTTATAACTATCTCCGGATACCTTGTTAGAGATTCTAGCCAGGGTTCACCTCGTTCACTTTTAAAAGATTGTCAGATTGGAAACGCCCGATTATGATGGAATATTACGTGTAGTTTCATACATCTATTAACCAGCTGGGAACTCTCAGAGTCTCAGACAGCGTGTTATCACGAATATAGTCTATTTGCTCAAATGGATAAAACGCGTGATCTAATATATAGCCCCTTGTTCCAATACACGCAACAATTCCATACCTATCTATTCTATCCAAATAATATTGAAATATTGAAACTACAAGGTGCTGTATATGCAACCAGTGTGCCCGAAACGTTATACGTAGTTGTCTATTTCAAAGATAGAGTAAAACATGGAATTAGTTTGGTGGGTTTCCGTTTAAAGTCCATTGGTTTAGAAAAGTCTCAAGCAAAGCGTTTGTAGAAACAATAGATTTGATAAAATAATAAGAGCTTTATTATAATCTCATTATGGCTGACGCGCGAGTACTGCGTGCATGAGTATCAAAACTGTGATAAGATATGGCTTGAGAAGGATAAGATAATATATAAAAAGAAGAAAATTAAACTTTGGTTTAACACTTTGTGTGTGCGATTTCTCAATACTGCATAAGTATGTTTACCAACTGACGACACAAGTCGTAAGTGTTGCAGATTGATGTCGTTTACATAATACTGCAGTTAGATCCAGTTGGACCATCATTCGGATTGGTTCCGTAGCTCTTCACCTTGACAGCTACAAGGAAAAGAACTGTAATGTTGATAATTGAGTCCGTTTGTTGGACAGTGTGGAACATGGTTCAGAAGATAAGGTCCGGGTTTTGGTTTGATTGAGTTTATATCACTGGTTTTGTTAGGAGAACGTGTCGATTTACTTCTTGTATTTATAACCATGTCTCACTTTTTACGTGGCTGCAAAGATGAAACCGTTTGAGTTTCAAGTGCAGTTGAATAACATGCGAGTGTAGTGTGAAAGAGAATGCGTTTTTACGCCTAATAATCTTACTGGGCTTAATCAATAATTACTAATTTGCAATAATAGAATTATTGTATCTGTTGAAACAGAAACACACGATGTTAATCATTGTGTATTAGGCCTTTAAACTTAGTCGTTAAAATGCACAGCGTTTTACGGGATCACCAAGACAATTAATTCCTTTTATTATTCGAATCTTGACGACAATACCCATTTACCTTAATACATTTATAAAATAAAAAGGCCGAACATTGGCTCTTTGTCCTCATCGTCGTCATCCGAATAGCTGACGTTTGATATATTATCGTCAGTAAGTAATGAGCATAATGCTTCGCAAGTTAGTTTGACAGATAGTATCTCACATAGACGAGTTGTCGGGCGGCTCATGTTGGATGAGATTGACTCCGACACCCGCTTTATTAAAAATGCGCCCAACATAGTTTCCTTAACATTAACACTAATTGGCCACTAAAAAAAAGGATTAAAACTATGATTAGTAAAAGTGTATAGGCACGAAATTTTGTGATAACATAAATTAGCATATACACGAACCAACTGCAATTAACACACCCATTATCACAACAACTGTCTGATCATCTCATTGTTATTATTGTTTGGGAGAGGGTATTCTTGATAATTAGCAAAAATTGTTTACTGCGGATATTCTACCGGTAGCTAGAAGGGAAACTCATTTGCATTGCAACAAAGAATTGACGTATTTTGAAATTAAAAACTCTGCTGGACGTAAGCCACCCATTAATGATGTGATTAGTGATCCAAAACACTATAATTAAGAGATAGTACTCAATGTATCTTGTAGATTACAAACTTCCCATTTGAAAAAACGACAAACAATAGCTTATGCAGAATGTAAGCCACCCATTATTCATGAACTAGAAATAGCAAACATGTATTGATCAAGTGTAACCATTATATATGTTGATCATGACTATCTGTAAAGACTATAACCATGTTGAAAAATCACACAGAAATGTTTCACAATCAGGGTATGGCTAGATGGCGATATGCCTATCGGCCAATCGTTATTATGATTGACCGTCGTAAAAATAAAAGCTCAGGGTCTGTGCTACGGTGGTGATCTCACCGAACATAATAACAAGCCTAACTTAAAATGTTCTCTTGTATTCCATAGACAATGGCATAACAAACAATGGGAACGTAGAGTATCATTTTACTTTGTCATTCTTAACGGCTTACTTTTCTAGGCAAGTGTACATGTTAATTAAGTGCTCTGTGCTGCATGGTAGTGACCACATCAATAAGAAAGTAGAATAAATAAGATCATTGAATATATGTGATAAATCCCATTTTATAATATTGCTTCACCATACTGTAACATCCATACGCAATTTTGTGGTGTGTCTTTTCGCTGAGCAAGGCGAGTGTTCGCTCTGAGGACATCCCACTACGAAATCACAGGTATGATTGTGCGGCTGGCGTTATCGAAACCAATGGAGTGTGATATTCAAATGGATGTAAACGATACTGCGTCGTTTATGCGATTATTCTAGACAATATGATTACGTACCTGATACCATCATCATCAATGTTGTCAAAATTAGGACTAGTCTGTCTGCACGCTGACACAACGACTTTGTATGAACGACGGACATTTGATCCGTAACTTAGTGGTAGTGATAATGGTGGTAGTAGTAGTAGTTAATAGTAGTAAAACACAACATATCAATTTCCGACATCTGTAAAGTAATCTGATCGTCGGTTAAAAATGAAAAACGATGGCAGCTTATGCTTATTATATTGTACAGTGCTAAAGGCATTCTTTGTCATTGTTTTCAGGTTAAGCGGCATAAGGGCTCATCACCCACAATTGATTTTGTTAAAGGAATGAATCTTCGTAGCTAGTCCTGTGAATACTGAGCAGTGTAGAAATGCATTCAGTAATATATATCCAATGTTTTCGCTTTATCAACACGCTACAGGTCAGCTAGTGAAATTTTGGTATACAAAGTCAATTGTTGAACGTATGTAACGTTGTGATTGGAAATAAGTATACCAGTTTATTTCATTGATAGTGTCTACAGTTGACACGAAATGTTACATAAAACATAAACTGTGTGAGATTTGGTAAGCTCATTTGTTTTTTCGTTATGCAAGGAAGCATCGAGTTCGATGAGAATAGACGACTAAAAGATAGTTGACGTGAAACGACACAAGTTTATAAGAAAACAATACTCAATGAATCGAATCAATTATACCCGTTTAATACAGAATGGCCAAAACGGCTCACTAATACATTTCCATTTAATGTCTCGCTGCCTATTGCTGCTAAGTTAAATTTGCTTATAATGCATTCTCTCTCCTCGAAGCAATTGCCAAATCTTACATACGCTTTCTATGTCGTTTATATCTCTATCTAGTACCTTCTCTATGTACCTCTAAACGCCAAATTACCGTGATATAAAGAATCACCAATTCTGACATGAAATACACGGCCATTGAAAGATACATCATAATTTCTGCGTTACGTTTGCCAATGATTTGTGGCGGAATGAACAACATGGCGAAAAACCACCCAGACCAAAGAAGTTTAATAAGACCGATACAAGCAAGTGGATTAGCACTTGTTTTTTGTGGGTTGTTTAGAGCTTCCAGGTTCGTATAAACCCCATCTTGACGTATCTGAATATAAAAAGATGGAGAAAAAGATATTACGATTATAAGGAAACGAGTAATTAAACAGATGACAAAACGATAAGGACTTTCAATAATAAACCCAGTTCTTTACCTGCAGTTCTGTTGGATAAGTCTTCTGGTTTGTGGCACCAAAAAATTGTGGTTTCGTTTGTACTGTAATGATGTTGCAGTTTGTGAGTTTTTCTTAAAGCTAGAAGCTATTAAATGGGGGGTAGCGTCTTTGTTGTCTATTTATGCTGCAAGACAAACTGCGGTTCGAATTAATAGGAAATAGTAGTAATTTAATATACTGTTTGATTGATAAGACAGAAAAGGGTAGATTAATGAGCAGTTGCGTGTTAAACAAGGCGGAGTTTGCAATAGCTGTTATAAAATATAAAAAAAATTGTTTGTTTATAGTTGATCCATTTACGTCCATAATGCTCGTACGCAGCAGCAAAAGTCCGGTCGAATAATTCATTGCGCTATTCTAATAATTATAATAAACTTTGTTTATTTTTAATAGTAAATTATACAACACGTCTCACTTGCATCAATGTTTCGAATTCTATGTGATATGAAACCGGAAGGAAAGCGGAAGGAAAGTGGCCCTTTACTCCGAACGAGAATATGTTATTTTTTAATAGTGTGATGTCAATGTTTTGATACACAAACGCATTTACAATAAAATTTAGGGGTGTATTGTATGTTGCTGCTCGATCTGCATACTGTATGTGCACGGTTATGGTAAATTTTAAAGTTGCACAAAGTGTCATTAAAAAGTATATCTGTTATATCAAATCTGTGTGGTTGTTTAGCAATTCATTATTATATACTCTAGATCTCTTACGCCATTGAATTAAATGGAAAGTCCATTGCAATGTCTTACTAGTATCGTATCATCAGTTTGTTGGACTTAAGGGGTTCATATACCGTAATGGAAATATATGCCGTAAACGATTTAATATGATTACCCTCATGTCGCAACATAAGCAAACACGTATGAGTTATCTGATCATAGCGAGCAATCTATTAACCATAGAAATACTATATCAATATGCACTGCGCCAAATTTAAACCTCTTCACTTTAGGAGGCATTTATTTCACCCGACAGTCATTTCACGTGACACATTGTTTATCGCGATTATCATTGGTTTTCGATGAAATTTATGTCGGTGAAATAAACCGGACCCAAATATTTGAGCGCGGAATTATTATTGGAGCATGGCTGTTTGAACACTCTGAAGCCAAAAATGGCTATCCCAAAAGCACAATACATGACATAATAGGAAAATACTGTGAGACTGGTAGTGGAACATTCCATCCACATAGCGGGAGACCACCATTACTCACTGATAGGAACAAGTGACATTTTGTAAGGATCAAGTTGCTGTCAGAAAGCCACTCATTTTAATTTCAGCCAAATGCTACTTTCCCAGATGGTTTACAAAAAAATTGATTATTTATTTTAAAATGTTGTGTATTCACGTTCTTTCTGTCAAGCCAATACACGTGGGAGAGCGTACGTATTTAACTCGGACCTTTGGCTATCTCTGCTGATATTAAATCTATAAATACTGTTAGTAGATTATTATTTAACCTCGAGTTGATACGTCTATTTATTTTTTATGGGATTAATTCGAAATCTTATAGGTCGGGAAATTCTCGCTACGCTAAACGCGTTTAAGTTTCGATTTTGTATACCGCTGATATAGAAAGGCAGTTTTTACCAGCGATAGAAAATCTCGCCAGGGAATGACGAAATAAATTTATATTTGACATGGATTATTATTGTTGTTGTTAGAATATAGTATTTGAATTGCAAGGAGTTTATTAAGAACAATTATCGAAATAAAATATTAATAGGCTGAAGATAACGTTCGCTAGAGAAACTACGACTGCTTATTATTATATATCCTTAAATCGTTTCACTAAACCTGATCAAATGTCAACAATTCTGCCTTATTGTATATCGATTGTCATCGTTACTATTGGAAATGTTCGCACTACCAACAGCGGAAATTACGTCATCCATACTCAATTTTTTGATCCGCCAATCCAACTGAACATACCCATTTTTTGGCTCCACGCCTCTTTAGATCAGAAGGCATGCTCTCCAGTTTGGTATTGACTCTTGAAGACCCCATGCTTGCTTCAAGTGCAGGTAATTTTCTGATTCTAATCATAAAGGGAATGTTATGGACTGTACAGTTAAATCCCGATTACTTATGATTGTATGGTACGTACGCGTAATCAAGTTGCCCGTCTACAGTTGCGTGCTAAGATGTATACACGGTCATTCCATTTAATTCATTGAGGATGTTCAATTTATGCAGCAGCGGCTAAAATATAGGAGAACTTGAATTAATGTCAAAGGGGCATGAATGAAGCCTCCCAAGATCTGGCCAAATCGATAGAGTAATTGCGATATCTGATAGATTTTCGCAGTCACGGATGACGAGATGAATGATGCTTCCAGTCTAGAAGCGAAAACAAGACCGTTAAAAGATTCAAAGAAACTAATCGTAATAGAAAGGATAATCGAAGAGGTAGCCGCTGCTCGCGATTTATTGGCTTGACTTGACAATTGGATCAGGCGATGAAGAGGAACGTAATTAACAGAGTTGATGACCATCCTGACGAATGCTTAATCCAGAAGGACGCAGTTGTTCTCTTATGGCAGTCGAGCAGTTTTTGGCTCCACTCAAATTAATTGACGTGCAAGTGGAAGTTTCGAGATCTTTAAAGCTCTGTGAATTGCCTGTTAAGAACATTCTACTTGTGGAGAGAACTTCTCTTTGTAATGGTTATTGTTCTGCACCAATGCATGTATGAAAATATTACCAATAGAGTGAGGTACGAAAGAACGAACAATGCTGCGTATGAAGATCGATGCTCTGTTGAGCTGTCGTGCGAAACAGAGGATAATAAAACATACAACTTGACGGGTTACAAGATTCACGAGGCCGGGCTTTACTCATTTCCAGGCAGGATATAGCAACTTCGGTTGTGAAGCTATTTCAAGTAGATTTGGTACGTCAGATAATATTTCTTTTGTCGAATATTTCAGACTGTGACGTAACTATATAATTTAATCTTTTTTGTACAGGGAAGAAATTGTAAGAAACGCACAAAAGAGTACTATTATCTGACTGTTTATCCCGGAAGGCTCGTTTGAAGTTTTATAATTATATGCGGCAGCGAACAACGATCTCAGGCAAGTTTTGCGAGACACTGCTACATTTCGTTACCACCTGGTGGGATTTTGAAGGTGGATTCAGACAAGAAAAACTACAAGGGAGTGCTATGTAGTATTGGAAAAAATTTTCTGTAATCTTTGAGATGTTTCCAACAGAAAGATTGAGCCTGATATAGGACATTGTACAAACTGGAAAGCTGTTTGTAATAGCATGGACAAGTTTCGGGTTTCGAACATTATTATTTCGTTGTACGCTAACCATGGCTCATATCCTGAACCGTGATAAGTATTTGTATGCGGGAACAACGACACCAGCTGAAGAAATTACGTTATTATCAAAAGATTTTTCTTTTGCGGCAGCAAACGGTTACGAAAATTATTTGTACGTAATCGTTAATCTGGATAAGAACGATGCCTGAACAAGAGAAGAATTATCAGCTAGCATTATATGTTGCAGATCATGGTATCCAATACCATTGGCCTCAAGGCAGCTTCCATGAAAATTATATACAAAGAGCTCTGTCCAAATGTATATCTTCAAATTTATCTGATCAGTGAAAACGGATGGAATATGTCAAACAAACTTGTCGCGCGCCGATAAGCGATGGCACGCATTACGATCGTCAGTTACTTCAAATGTGCAGAGAGTTGCACTTATGTTGTCTGTTTCGACAATGTCGCAGAAGTCATCAAGTTTATTTTTGAATTTCTTACACTTGGGATGGAACAAAGTACATATTGTACTCTTCCAAAGCAAGCTATCCTGATCGAGACTGCATCAATCGTGGATCAATATCTGCTCGAGCCATGCCAATTGTTAAATGAAAGCATATTACATGGAACATTATCTCAAACGAAATTCATAGTCAAAATCAAATTGAAGTAACTGATGATCTTTGTCGATGGAACTGTAGCCAAGCTGTTACCACACCACGTTATACAGTACTTTTTTCGAAAACAATAGTGTCTTATCGTCTTGTCGAGAAGTTCTTGATGAACCTCAAGCCGTTGATGCGAAATTCTAATGCACGATCAGCGCTAGAGAATCTATTACGTATGTCAAAAGATTTTGCGACACTCTCGTTTGGTCCACAGACGCCGATAGTGCTCGATTAACCACTACAGTCAAATAGGGGCGACTCATTCTTTAGAACAAACATCAGATTCTATTTGCGCGCTTTACCGTGACAGAGCTAAGGTACCAGACAATGAGATCGCACGTCTAGAAACTTACGCCAGAGAGCTATCATGACAACTTAAATGTTGCCCACACATTCATGGAGAGATAAAAATTCCCTTATCGGCCGATAATTTTATAAAAACGAATGGCACTAATATCAGTGCTCGCACGTGCGAGCATCCTGAATGTGGCAAGTTAATTTTCTTCACAAGTTTGAGATCAATGCTTATTATTATATCACCAGCAACTATGCTGACCCGATATCTTCTTGCTTTTGGTAGACGAGTTTGGTCGCTACGAGGCCGAGGCTGTTGGTGTAACCTCTCACTATATGCCGGTTTTGTTGTGAACCAGATTCTTGCGTTCATGAACGAGGGTAATAGACTTGCCGAAAAAGGAGAAGCGTGGCCATTCTTGGATGAAATTCACACTTGCAATCACATTGGGCTTTTGGCGGATCTCATAGCTCACGGAGTGTTTTCAGGAAACCAATACATTCGAACATTCGTCTGTTGCCGCTTGCAACCCTTATCGACTGCGTATAGGCGAAACGACAAGTCTACCAGGAGCAAATCAACAATCTACAAGTACATCCTCTTCCTGATAAAATGTCTGGGATTTCGGTGTACTCAAGCCGAAGATGAACAGGTGATTCTCAATCTCATAATAGAACTCTACTATTTAGGCGTATATCAAAATGGCCGAGAGCCAAATAAGTAAGATAGCGTTATCAATGATTTTCTTTTGAATCACAAAATACATACATAAGATTGAAGGACCACGAAGTGTAAGCTTACGAGACGATAGACGAGCTATCAAATTGATTCTATGATTCCGTAAAAGTCTCCAAGAGAAAAGGAAGAAAATGTTGATAACTGCATTCGAACGTAATGAATCCTAAGCATTATCTGAATTGTCTCAATTGCGTGCAAATTTACTATACTTCAAACACCTCCTTTACTGGAAGGGATCACTCAGGACTGAATGCGACGTGAGTCAGTATTTACGCTGAATGCACCCGCCCAGCAGGCGACAATTAGACGATAAGCTTTCTAACACTCTCGCTCTCACTGTTGCACCCATCGTCAATCGATCCCCGCCGGTGGTTGTGACACTTATGCTCAGGGCTCCCTTTAAATCGTTCACATCGTGAACTCGTTCCAATTCTCTGGCAATCTACTTAACAATTCGCCGAGCCCGTCTGACAACACAAAAGATGGAATCAGTTCGTACTCAGATTCTAAACTTTTACGCGCCAGGAGAGAAAGTCTGACTTTCATTCGAAAAATAGAGGGAATTATTGTGTGGGATAAGAGCAACGGTGGAAGAACTGAAGTTGGGCGGATAATTGTGAATTTCGCGTTGTTATTATCTATTGCGAAGATTCCTATCATTTCGATCTTCGACTAGTAGTTGGTGCGCGAACAAAGAAGTAATACGCGGAGTAAGGATTGAGCACTACACAGTATCCAAAATACTCTCATTCTAAATTCTTTCCACTCTTCCTCAAGTAATGCCTATGCGAACCTTATATTGTGCTTTGGATCAATAAACGTGATGAATCTCCTTGTCATCCTTGAGTATCAGTCTTGTGATGTCTCACCAACTCCAAATATCCGCCGCGCTCAGAGGCATTTTAGATAACTCTTCAAAGTGAACTTTGCTACAACTGTCACTGCCTGAGGCACAATCAAGGACTGTCCCCAGAAATCCAGCCTACGCTGTTCAACTTCCCTTTCGACAGTCATCATAGAAAAGCCTCTTGTTGGCTATTCTTCTAATGGTATAACGTATAGTTTCATCTGATGTTTGGCGAGTTCCGACAGTCTGTATCCGAATCGAGACAACGTTCTTTGATGAGATCTATACATGGAAGGAAGGGCTTTCGTTGAATACCATTTTTATAGAGGTCGTCTAGAAGTTGTGATCGAAAAGCTTTTTGAGCAAACGACGGAAAAGGAAGCTTTTTGTGTCTTGGCTGGTAAAGAAGAAGCCGACAGCGTAGAAAGGATAATGTATCTACATGATTCTATATGCGTTCTACTCAGCTGTGCAATGCTGCCATTAGAGAGTATACATACAGCAAGTAGAAGAAAAGCATTTGTTGCTGCTAGAGGGTCTGATACTTCAGAGGAGAATAATGTCGGAATGCGTAGATCGGTAAGATTATACTAATAATAATAAGAACGGCTATTACGTTTTTATGCTTCTAATGATATAACTTATTTCCTCGACAATTTACGTATATGAAATATTAAGCATCATATGATTTTCAAATTACAGCACAGAAAATAGAAAATAGGCCTAATGAAATATATTTGGACAACGTTAATGAGTCTATTTCATAACACGCTTCCGACGAAAAAAAAAGCGGTGAGTCCATTTCCACCTTTGTGTTGGGCATCGATAAATTAAAGCAAACGAGTCGGAGCCATACGGTCCACTACCATCAATTGCGCGAACGGATCGACGGTTCTCTGCCTGGGTGAGTTCAAGTCACCGACGTAGCAGATGCAATGATCCAGAATTCGAATGAGAACTTGATCCAAGTCGGATAGATTGATTGAATTCTAGGAAAGGATTTATGCATAAAGAAAAAAGAGTTTTCGTTGAATATTAGAATTTCTATTGGGCGGACTAACATTGTCATCGATATGGAGATGTAAAGAAAGGGTTGAGACGGGTAGTATTTGGAAGTAAGGAAGGTTGGACGGAAAGCGGAGAGGAATTCTATTGACTATACCAATTTGATAACGCACCTGGTAATAGGAAACGCTTTGGTATCTAACATTAAGACTCTAGGAACTGTATACATTAATGAAGAACTTGGTATGTTATGGTTGGGTTCGGAAAGAACCCAAGGATCTGAATAACCCAATGGCGCATCATCAGAGGATGATGGACTCCTGATACTGAGATGAATTGGTTAGACGGAGGGGTCTAAAGAAGGATGTGGCAGAGGGTTACGCGTCTATCTTTAACGTAACATCAGGCATTGGGAAGTGAACTTATAGTTTACAACGTTCGTTTGTAAGTATCCTAATGACTTCGATCTGTCTAAGCACATTAGCTCCCAACTGCTCAGACATCAAGAAAATAACCCAAACTTTTTTGATTAGGTGATACTGGATATGAGTGTCTTATTAAGACATAATCGTTGTTGCGCTGAAGGCGAAAATTGCGTTAATATTTGTGGCAGATTAAAACGAAATCGGAAATTTGGATTCTCTTTTAATGTCTCTGAAACCCACACATACTCTTCTATTAACAAAAGTTACCCTAAATTCCAACCCAAAAGCCTAAATTTTCATATTAAAATAGAGAAATTTCATTTTAATCCGATTTCACAATATTTGAGTTGAAGAAAAACTGATATGTTGAAGGAAGAAGCGATTAGGGATCAACAATGGACGAGCGATTAGGGATCAACAATAGACGCCGTTGTGGGATACAATAATTACAATTCGACTCTAAGCTTTGCCACGTACTAGTACATGTACCATCAGTTGCTCATTACATTTGCGCTTGAGCATTCCTTCCTGCGAATGATGAGACATACGTTCTATATGTTTTAAGCATCATAAAAAGACTGTTTATTTGCAGCACAATCGGACGTTGGCACCTGTATTTGGGGAAGATAATAGCCCCTTGCTACTTGTCTTCATTAGACTATTTGCCACCGCAACAATCATTTTGAAACCAAAATCAGAAAAATACAACATTATTCAAACTCAAAACGAAACGATTATGTAGTTTTATCTTTAACTTTATTAATATTAATATTTACATGATTGCATATTTTACAACATTGAATTCGCGTTGAGGATCGTTCCTGCGGTTCTTTAACTTTATTAATATTAATATTTACATGATTACATATTTTATTTGTATGTTAACCATGTTGTAAGGTACATGCCATCGAAAAGTCGCGCTTTGATCTGTATGGTACGTACGGTCGAAAAGTCGCGCTTTCATTCGTATGTCAACCATGTACATACCGTCGAAAAGTCGCGCTTTGATTTGTGTGGCAACATACCGTCGAAAAGTCGTGCCTTGATTTTATGGCAAGAGGTACATGCCATCAAGAAGTCGTGCCTTGATTTGTATGGCAACCGTCATCCACCGCTTCATCAAATGTTTGAAGTAACGTTACTCGCGGTGTAGTCGTTGAAATTGTTTCGGGAGCGTAGTCTCGATGTAGTCGCAACCTCGTGACGTAGTCGTCTTTCTCCGAGTAGCATTGGGGGTTGGTAAGACGATCTCGATGCGTTGGATGCATTTCGGCCACTTCGCTCGGATTCGTCAACTCTTCTATTGACAGTGTTAGCCGAAACGGTAGAAGCGCTGGCGAGGTTTGTGATGACGTCCTTGTTGAAAAGGACAGGTGAAATTGACGTGCTGTGTTGTTGATATCAACACGTCCACCGGATAAGTTTGTTATCAGCAAAAAAACTTGGAAGTTTAGTAAAAACATGGAGGTATTAGACGGTAAATGTCTGTTTAGTCTGTCAGTCCAAGCATACGCTTTATATCCCCAAGCGTATGGGACCGCAGCAACTGAAAGATCATTGTTCTTCCATATTGGGCATTTGGCATATCATTCACAATAACAAATTGTTTTTCGATCACCCCTTTAAAGTCAGGTTATTATTATGCGACTCGAATATTTAAACATATAACTTTACGCAAATTTATACCGTTGAAAAGCGCAAAAGAACCGCTATCAGATTTATAAAAGATTGTCTTAATGTCTTGCTTCTTCGTTGAGAAATTGAATCTAGGACACTATTCGGTAGTCGCCGAACCATCCCCTACAATATATTTAAGTGTAAACGTTTGTATTACCGTAAAAGCTAAAAGCTTACGTAGCCCTATTTGGTTAAAGCGCTACGTGACGTAAAACTATCACAAGACCCTGTAATTGTGGCTACGTGCACGTGTTATTGACAATAAAAATACCATATTTGAAGTCTGTCATTGAAGCAATGTAGTCATTATATTTGCAGGAGGAGCCGGTGCTAGTCATACAGAATGTCATTAGTTGTGCGTAAGCTTAGATTAAAAGGCTCTTTAAAGGCTCTGACATACAACATCTTCGACGACATTTCTGCAGTTGGCATTGATATCATGCCGACGTTGTATTTTATTTTGGTAAGGTGTGATTACACAATGAAACGTTGGACATGCAGGTATCAACGTACAATACATGAGTGATGAATATTATTTATGAGAATAGCAATGGCATACTGCGAGTTGGAAGAAAAACTCTTAAATATTTTATGGGATAAATAAGGGTTTAAAATAGAAACCAAAATAGAACAAATATCACATCAATTATCACAGTTGTAGTAGTATTATAAATATACATGATAAATACATAGTTATTGTTGATTTATATATTATATCAATTTATATACGATGTTTCATTTTCGCCGAGATAAGCATTTGCATGCCTATTATTTTGTTCACTGCCACACAAAGAATTCTTACCCCAAACTATTGCGTGAAAAGAAAATACCAATCGAATTTCTAATGATGAGTGCAAATGCACGGTATTTGGCCAGGGTATCCAGAGACTACAGAATGTCATGATATATATTATGATTAATAATGTGTAAAGGAAGTTGGCTAATACATCATGCTGTGAAGAATATGGGAGAGAGAAAATAGAGAAAGGCAGGACTGTCTAGTCTACCACCTCGGACTGAGAGAATATAGAGAATGTGCGACTATTAATAATGTAATAAAGAAAGAGTCTATATTATGATTGGTTGAAATACTGACCTTGATTGTCGCATCGCGCTAACTTTATGGCCAGATGCTAAG